CCATGAGGTTGATGTTTTCAGCTCTGTTGACTGCAGGCGAGTGTTAATCACAGTGTTTTCTGATGCCCATTCGCAGACGGCTTAGTCTCCGAGTCTCTTGGATTGTTCGACAGATGAAGTTTATCTAATCCTGCAAAACGTAACAAGAAAAAACTGAGCTTCTTCCACGTTTCCTGCACACAGCTATTCAAGAGTGCAGACAAACCAAATTCTGTTTCCCATTTACTGAAGACCAGAACTGACACTCTAGCTGCGGTAAGAATTTCTTCTGGGAAATTCCCTCAGCTGTGTTTTGAGAAAAGTCCATTACAACAGACTTCTGCTTTGACAAAACATGGAAGCGAGAGCAGCCTAAATTCACATTGCTTAAATCACAGACTTAGATGTTGAGAACTGCAAAAGACTTGCAATCCTTTGTCAACCTACAAAGACCTAATTACCTAAAATATTTCTTTTAAACTACAGCATCTTTCTGAAAAGCATCCATTGCTGATCTTAAGATCATCGGTGATGACCACATCACCTCTCTGAACTGTTTATGTCTTAAAATACTCTTAGGCCTATGTCATTAATAATTTCTTTATCTCCATTTACTATGAGTGCTAATTAAAGTCTCACATCCTGCCTCAGGCAAGGAGTTAAACTACTCTTTTGTGAGGGGAGGTGGGGAAAGACGGTAAATTTAGCCATATTTTATTCACAAGAGGCATGATGTCAGTCTTGCCTGCTTGCTACAGTTTCTCTCTGATGTCTCCTATCAAATCAATTCAGCATAGACTACACTGAACATTTTACTGAAGTGCCATGATGTACCCAGTCAAATTTCTTGCATCCTTGGAATTCCAAAATTGATTGCACTAACAAAAAAACCCCAAATCTACTCAATACTGTATTGTTTGTTAGTCCCAATATAACATGAATTCTTTTGATCACCGGCCTGCAGCAGGAATTTACTTTCCACTAATTATCTATTGTGCTCCACCAACCTCTAGTTCTCAGTGTCACAGTTTTCAGCATGGGGGAAAGTGAGCACACAAACTGCGGTTCTCACTCTTTGAACTCCATGTGACAGTTTTTAACACACACTTGGTTATGCACAGCATTGAAAGCAAACACAGATTATGCCAGGAACCTGCGCTCTTCAGGATTTATAACTCCCTCCTTGTATCAGATGCAAACCCTCTACCAATTACTTTGCTTCTCCATTTTGACCACAAGATTTACACAAAATGTACACAATGTGATAGCAAGAGGCCAAACAAATCCCTAACAAAATTCACTAGAATGATGCCATCCAATGACCATTACCCTGCTATGCCTGTAGTTTGTTAATCTGCTTTCAACATAATTGTTTTATTAAACACTATATATTTAATACAGTAAAGTGCCACAAACTATCAAGATAGATCTTTTTACATCATTTGCTTTAAGACAAACTCTGAAGTTTTACCAGACCTGTTGCTATAAACCCATGCTGACTGATGTCCATTTTTTTTCCTTCAGAGCTCTGCAACAGCCATTACTTTACACAAAGTAATCCCTTTACAGTCAAAGCAGTTGCACAAAAAGTAGGATTATGCAAGTCTACTGAGAGATTAATCAAGGTCCTCTTATAAAATGACCTTAACTAAAAGTTGAGGGATAAAGTCATATACATCATAGTCCTATCATCTGTCTCAGTCAGCAACGGAACTTCTCTGAAAATATTTTCAGCATAGAAACCAGTGGACAGATTTACACATCCCTGGCTCTCTAATCTGTTCCTTCAAAATTCAAAAAACACAGAATGGCTTTAATCCTACACTATCAGACATTTTGCCTTTTCCTATTTAGTAATCTGATTTTAACTTGACTGCCACCAGTAGAGGTGCACTCTAGGAAGTGCTACTTTTCTCACCTTAACTTATAGAAACTTACACTAAGAAAAAAAAACTTTTCTGTGAGTTGTAACAGAACCTTAACAGCAGCACATCAAGTTATCAACACTGGAGAAAGGAAGTGTTCAAGGACATACTGAATTTTTAGCCCTGTATTACCTAATGCCTTCAGGAGCTCTTCACGCACAGCGGAAGTGAACTTTCTGACCAGACATAACGTTGTCATGATAGCAAAGAGCAAGTTGTAAGATAATACAATATAGAAGTTCCCCAGCCAGTTAAACCTTCCAAAGTCTCCAAGCAGATCAAATCTGGTGATTCCTGTTAAAATGGCATTAAAGATTCACATCAGAATTTTGATTACATTTTTTTAAGAAACACTTTTTACATACAGAAGCAGAATCCTTTCAGACAACACACTAAGATACATGGTTAAGCACACAAGACAATAATCTCAAGGTCCTTTTCCCCTTCACAGACCACTACAAAACTGTAAGGCAAACTAATAAATCAAAACGTTTCTTGAGGTTCATAGTAAATTGATGGAATAATGTGCATTGAAGTAAATTGTTTATTCTAGGTTAGAATTTTGCTTTTATAGCTTCAATAAATATAACTAGGAAAAACATCAGTATTAGTACAAAAACTGCCCGAATTTTCAGTTTTGATGAAATCCTTATCTATTCCACAGAAGGATGAAATGCACTGCAGGTTTTCTTAATAAACAATACCGGTAGCAAAAAAACCTTTCCATAAGAGCCGCAACATCTTACAGTAAACACTAAGCTTTTATAAGTGTTTGAATTTCAGAGTCGCTACTTTTGAAAGCAAAGTTTAAAGACCTCTTTCCAACTGTAGTTTTCCTCCCAGATCTACCCACCACTGTGGCCACAGAGCATTTGCACAGCAGGAAAAGAGTTTGGCTGAAAGACAGTGCTGACAGGTCCTCTTCACGGTGGACCTCGCAACACTGACATTGGCCTTTGTGCTGATCAAAGGCTGCTCAATCACTAAGGCTAAGTGAGCAAAGTTTTTTCAAAATGTGGAAGTGTCTCTAAGCTGCAGGGTCCATCCCAGAAGGCAGAAGAGGAAGAACCATTTGTTCCTTTGCCAGGTCTACATCAAGGACTGCACTGAATAAAGGGCAGAATATTGAGACCGCTTCTGAATCAAATTGTACCTTGACACCCAAGACTTAGAGCCGGTCAATGTTAAAAGGTACACAATGCTTCTTGTACTCAGCGTTAGTCAATTAAATAAAAAAAACCAACAGGGGAGTCAAATGTAGTATCGACAAAAAACATGCCGAAACAAAGAAAATTAAAAGAAGGAGAATTTTCAAATGATAAAGAAAAAAAAATACTGAAGTTGATCAAAATAGCAAGGAGGCAGTGAGAAGTATCAAAAAAAATCACAGAAGGTCACAGCACAAGAGGAAGAAACTGGCTGACTGAATCAACCAGTAAGCAGATGGGGGATAACAAACAGTTGCTTTCACACTTGAAGCCAAACAGAAAGGGTCTTTCAGAACATCCTCAAAGAAGCAGAGAATGTTTTAGTCAGACTACAGAGCTACAAGTTAAGTTTGACTTCCAGACCTTCAATGGAAAAGAAACAAGATAGGTAGACAACCGAGTACAGAGTTCTCTGAAAAGCAAAAAATACTCCCTGACACAAAAGGGGTTCAGAAGAATCGTAAGCAATGGAGTCGGCCGTTGTGAGAAACAAAAACAAAGCCTGACACTTCTGTTGGAGCAGGTGAGAAAATACTGTCTGCAAATCACATCCGTTTTCCCCTTACAAATAAAGTCATTGCTCATCAGAAAACCATTTTGTAAGTTTGTGGGAGAAAAGGGTTAAAAAGCTTTTGCTGACTTTCTTACAGAAGTATCTGCTCAGCCCACAGAAAAATAATGCCATGACTGTAGTCTGAAAGACTACTCAGTAACTGAACAGAAAGCTACATCTCCAGTGGAGACAAATATACATCCAATAACGTCGGTGACAACTTACCACATAAAATATAAAGGGATTGTTCAGGTGAAAAAAAATACTATATTTTTTGACTGTACATACAAAAAGGTTTTAAGTCACTATTAACCATAATAAGAGAAGAATTCTAGGAATGCTTTTGTATATTAAAAAATTCAATTTTGTTTTGTAATTCCTTGTTTCTATATTCCTGCCTATTAAATGTTCTGCTCCAAATTTGTTTCACAGTGGTTAGCAATACAGTGCAGGTGGGAAACTTTTTTCAAGAAGCACTACTAAAAGGCTGGAAAGTTCTGGAAAAGCTAAATTAACTTATTTTAGTGAAATAATTTATTTTAGTAAAAAACTGTCCTGGAGTTCTAGAAGAACAACAGATTAGAGACATCCACTACGTATGTATTTAATGAGAATGCTATGAAACAAAAAATTTCTCACATTTCCGTTTTTAAAACTTGAAAAAGGTCAGTACGTGTATTAGATAACTTTGCTCTTATACCTTTCCCATAATGATAAAGTCTAATCTCTCTGTATAGTCTAGAAACTTGCTTTTTTAAATAAAGTGAAAAGACTATGAATCTGCTTAACATATTTCTTTCTTTTCACCCATTCAGTGCCACAGGGCGGTAGCGTGTAGTGCAACACATGTTGATATTTTTGCAAAGCACCACATGACTCACTGTACTCTAATGCACTCTATTAATCCTGTTTGGACAGCTGTGACTGTGCATTTGTTAGCTGTGTGTTAATTGTTCCATCTTTTTTCTTCTTTTATTTATCTCTATGGCAAACTATTCAGGAATTTCATTTGTTGGTCTTTTTCAAGTGAGTTTCACTATTAATCTGTTTCCTATGAGACAACAATGCAGCCCACATGTATACTTACTTCCACAGAATCCGTTTATGATCAACTATTAGTCTCAAAGATCATTAACAATGATTTTTAAAATAAATGATAAATGCAATCATTTAGTGGACACAATGCTAATGTTAAAATTCTATTCAACACCACTAATTTTTCAACATAACATCTTGCTCCAAGTGCTAGAGCTGTTTTACTTCTTAGATCTTTACCTTACTGGCTATATTTTAAAACTGTACTACTTCAAATACTTGAATTATTCTTCTGCGTTTTTGTTAAGTTTTACTACAGATCTTTAAAACAGGAGCTCTAGAACAAGTATTTCAACATTCAACCCTCTAAAATGCATTACAGGGCTTTTTTTGTTTATTATGAAAATGATCTAGTAAATCTAATGAAACGCATCATCTGTAGATACACACAGCATGAAAACACACGGTATAGGCTACCAGAATATATTAACTACTCTTAATTTGACAGTATTCTGGTTGAAAAGAAAATCAAGTACAGAACTATTGGGTAGTAGGTCCATGAGCCTGAACTTAAACTCCTAAGCTTGTACTTAAGACTTGAACAGCCCGAGGTGAAGATTTTTGGTTTGTTCTGTTTAATACTGCCAATGAAATTCACATTACTTGCAACTATTCTGCACTACTTAAACATGTAATAGCCTTGCAATCTAATTTCAAGAACTCAAATTAAGATTACCTAATTAAACAAAGTGAATATACAAAACATCTTGTCTTTCCAGACAGTTAAAATACTTTTTCTACTTCAAAAACTGAACAAGCAGTCTCCATATCTATTCTTCCTACCATCTCCTGTTTTAAGAAGTTTAAAATCTGACCTGCCTTTTTAAATAATGTATTTTCTAGAAAATGCTTAGTGGCTTTTTTTTTTTTAAATAGAAAGTATGTTTTGCAGTTCAGGTATGTGGAATGGATGTTCAACAGCCCATGTTGATGTAGAAGGTCACACAAAAATGCTATTTCTATTCAAAGTGATGGCATTAAATACTTACTATGAAAGGTACAGCTAGAGGCTGTTTTTTTTTCTTGTTTTGTTGGGGTTTTTTATGGGATTTTTTAAAACTCAATTAAACATCCCTTATTACACTGTTTTATGCTTCCAGTTCACTTACCCAGTGTCCTTGACATCACTGGCAAAGCAGAACTCAGCACCAAGATTGAGACACAGTTTCCAATGATCTGTTTGAAAGTGACAAACGGCATTTAAATTATAAACAGGATTGTTGAAGAAAAAAGAAAAAAAAAAACAAGCCAACAAAACACTCAACCAAAAGTGGTCAAGATGAAAGTTACATTCTTCAAACTGAACCTAAAGCGATTCACAACAAGGTATTGTTAGCCTTGTCTCCTTCCATATGGTGTTACACAACAAAGTGGTGATCCAGGAGTAGAGTTGTAAAAAATCAAATACGTAATCATTTGCTTTTAATCAACGTGTTACATGTGCTTAGATTCAAAATAATACAAAACTACCACGTTGCAAAGCATCAACTGTTTACTCAATTCCTGCAAACTTTAATAAAAGAACCATTCCATGGGCTTAGAACAGACGACCGATACAGCAGCTTAAGCTTTGTATGCCACTGCTTGCAGGATTAGCATTATTTAAAAAATGACAACAAAGAGCTTCCTTTCAATTGAATGCCTGTTGACTACTTTAAATAGTACCAAAAAAAATCACAGCTGTTAGATTTTACTCTAGTTTTTGTGAAGCCTTTGTCAAGAGTAACTGAAACTCTCTCACAAGGGATCGCTTTCTTCAGCTCCAATTCCATCAGAATTCAAAAGCAAAAAAACCCAGAAAACTTCTTAAAAGTAGTCAGATATTTGTGCATTCACTATTTCTGTGCTATTCCTGGTGTACTGTAAACAAACAATGGAAAACATTACGAACATTCCAACTCCCTACTCCCACTACCTCCACTATAACCACCCCTATGTGTTTACCTACTTTCTCACTTTCCAACATTTTATGGTAAAAGTGTCTTTATCCATTAATATTAAAAAAACCAAACACCACAACAAACAATGAAACACATTCAAAAAAATAATTTATTTTATTATTATAACCAGGGAACATCTCTTCCTTGGTTACTGATCACATCCCCTTGTCAGCTGTGGGAATATTTTGCCAAAAACCTCAGCGTGTTCCTGCGCATTAGGTAACCGCATTTGTTCTTCTGAAGCCAGTGCTAAATTGTAGAAAGTCAAATTAGCCTCAGACTGCAAAATGCTGAATAGACCTCCTCAGTTTTAGTTTAATTATTCAAATTTGAATTACTCTGTCTGTATTACTTCTAGCAACCAAGTTCTTCAGATTTCAAACAAGCTCCCTGAAGTACAGTTAGCACAATCAAAGTTACTCATTAGCAATACGGTTTCCTTTGAAACAAGTTCTTTCACCAGCTTTTCTATAGCTAGTTAACAAGCTCTGCTATTCCCAGCTTTTTACAAGTGAATGGATGCCATCCAAACTAAACAGAGCACATCCTTTTTCCCACTCATTCAGCATTTTGAAAATCTTCCAGTTTGTGTTTACGCAGCTTACAAACAAATACTGATCACTGCAAATGAGCCATTCAGGGCAATTACTAACTGAAAGAGTCAGTTTGTCTTGGGTGGCAAGAAAGAGGAGGGGGCCATCACCATCACAGACTTTACCTTACCTTTGTCATAGTTGTGTCATCCTTCCTGGGAGTGAAATTTTCAAAAAAACGAAGACTGTAGAAGCCGACGACAGAGGATACCATGAGATAGCTGTGAGAATCAAGGAAAAAGGAACCTCCAAGGAATGCAAGTTACGCTCAAGTTCTCAGCAGTCTCCTAAAGTCTTAAGAACCAAAGGAAAAAAACAAAAACAGAAACTAAAACCAAAAAAAACCACTTCGAGTGCTTGAGAAGGACTGCCCTACCTCTTTCTTCTTTCCAAGCAAGTGTTCTCAGTAAATTACCAGTGTCCCAGAAAACTGGACAGAATACTTGTTAACAGACTGAATTCTTAAAGAAAGGATACAAAATCAAAATGATTTCAAGTGCTGCTCCCACAAAACCAAAGGTGGATAGGGAGGCACTTCCTATTCCAGGCCCCTGCAAGGAGAATTTTGCATAATTTAGTAAGATAAATGCAACTGTTCATAAATTTAACTTCTACCAGGACCAAAAAACCTGATCTTACAAGAAATACAGCCTTTTCTCAATTCAGTATTTAAGGGACATTCTGATATTCTAATTTCTAATCCTATCCTGTGCAACTGCATCAGCTACCTTTAAAACTTGAGTGAAATGCATTACTAAGACAGCAGATATAATGATTCACATTATACACACTGCATCTAACCACCATGCTGCATTTTATACATATTCCACACTTTGGAAACTAAAAAAAGAGGTCTGAAAAGATGACGCTTGTAGTTGTTCACAGACAGAGTGGCCAGCACCACTGAACACCTTTTATAGCTCTGCAAGCTCACATACAGCTCTACGCAGAGGAAAGCAATAAGAAGTTAATAAAATCCTCCTCGTAATTAAAGACACTACTACTCAACCTACGGTTCTTTACTTTCCTGAAGTATTTTTATCATAAAGGATGAAAATATGTCATATTTTCTAAGAGGAACAAATGCTAGAGAGGTTCTTCATATTGGTTTTTCACATAGTTTCTTAAATTGAAGAATTCCAGACTGTATAAAAGTAGGAGACAAAAGTAAAATGCAAACCCCAGATTACTGATTTTCTTCACTGAATCACTGTATCTTCATAAAGAATTTAGAGTAGTTTCATTAAGAACTGGCTATAACAAGACATGTAATAAATGTTTATGTATGCACAAGACCAAAACCTAGAAGGCTGAAGCTCATTAGTTTCAATGATACTAAAGCAAAAGTTCTCACGTGAACTTCTGTGAGGGCTCCAAAGCATTACTAAAGTTATAGAAATCATAAGAGAATTTTACTTTACCCCTGATCCCTTTGGCATTGCAGTCTCATCAACCAACAGGTAAAGAATGTTGAGAGCAACTAAGAGGACGGAGATGGACTATAAAGAAGTAAAAACAGTCTTGTTATTTAAAGGTATTCCACATTTTAAAAATGCATACAGTTATCCTCATCAGATTCCATAACGTTAAGTTCTTCTAAAATAGTCAAGAAAAAAATAACAAGTTTGTTGCTTCAAGAAACATCCCTCAAAAATTTTAAAACTACTCCCCCAAATGACCAAAGAATTCTCCATATTTCTGTTCGGGAAAAAGGAAAAAAAAAGAGCAAAACTTCTTACTGTCTCAATCAGCAGCAATATCATAACAGCTGGATAGACTAAATTCCTTTCCCACGCAGAAGCCTTTTTCCGCCGTTCTGTTCAGAAGAGAAAAGACAGAAGCATAATACCATAGATCACCATAGAATAAAACATGTAAAAATCATTCAGATATCTATAATTTCTCACTGTAACTACAGGTAACAAGAGCAATCTTATCTTGATCTGACACCAATCAGTTCATTAAGATATCCACCTTGAAGAGCTGTAGAAAGCAGTGCCAAAATTAGGAAGCCCCTCTAGAAGAAGGCTGGGGACACATACAGAAGCACATGTTTCTTTCTTATTTACAGGTGTGTTTAACCACAACATTTCCCTAGCAGACAGCAGTTCTACAAAGTTTAAAATATAATTTATTTTAAAATATGCTGCTTACGTGTATATTTTTATGTGACCTAATGGGACAGAAGGGAATTTCAAATATTTAAACAGTCTTTTCCTCTTGTAACACAAGTCAAGAAAGATAAGACTAACTCACTGCACTTCACTCATGTGTCTAAAAAGAAAATGCTATAACCTCTTCTTACCAGTCTTAGTTCTGCACATAACACAAATGCAAACTCC